GTGGTTTTTTTTTTTTTTTTTTTTTTTTACTAGGGATCCAACTCAGGCCCTTGCACTTGCAAGGCAGGTGCTGGAACCACTGAGCTAAATCCCCAGCATTCTTTGGTTTTTTTAAGACAGGGTCTCACTGTATAGTTCTGGCTGGACTTAAACTCATTATGTAACCTAAGATGGCCTCAATCTCTGGAATTATAGGTGTGTGCCACCATATCCAACATTGAACATTTTAATTCTCAGAGTATTCCTGTTTTATGGAGGAAGAGGAAAAAAGTTCAAAGTGAATTCAGTCCTGTTTGAAAGTAGCCTGCACAGTATATTACCAGATTACAAGGCTGTGAGATTAGCTTCAGCATTATTTTTCCTCCTTTTGTGACCACCAAGACCAGTGTTCAGATACAGTGGAAATGGGAGCTAAAAGGTTATTATGGACATTTTATTACTATTTATTTTAACTGAGTTATATCTCCATCTCTTTTTTATTTTGTGGGGGACAGGGTCTGGTTAAGTTGCTAATTGCCCAGGCTGGGCTTAAACTTGCAATCCTTAAAGTTTTATAGTTTTCATTGTGAAGATCTTTTAATTCCTTTGGTTAAATTTATTCCAAGGTATTCTCTGTCTGTCTGTCTCTCTATCTGTCTGTGTATCTCTCTCTCTTCCCTCTTCTCCCCTCCTCTGTCCTTCTATTCTTCTTCATCTTCTTCCCCTCATTCTGTTTCTTCTTGTAGCTATTAAAAATGACATTTCTTTTACAAATATTTTGCTGCTGACATACCAAGACTATTTCTGATTGTTACCACAACAGCTGGGATCTAGCAGTGTCAGAACTTGCCACAAAGGAGTACTCTGCATATTTGTGGCATCCAATGCCCGTGAACCCAACTTGTAATAACCTCCCACACTTCCTCTCCTCATTAGGTTTCACTGGTTTGCAGGGCATTTTCCCAGGGGCGGCAGCTGTGAGAGACTGCCATAGCAATCAGCTGAGCAGGGTAGCTACTAGGCATGTCAGAGGTAATGGAAAGAACATGGACCAAAAAAAAAAAACAGGGACCAGACATGGGAAGACCTAAAGTCTAATCTTAGAGCTGTCACTTGAGAGCTGTATTACCTGGGCAACTCACAGATTCATTATGAATCTTTTTTCTCCTCAGTAAATTGAAGGAATGATGTATGCACTGCAGATAAATCTCAAATTCATTATGCTAAATGAAAGAAGCCAGATATGAAAGAGAATATAATTTCATTTACATAAAGTTAGGAAATGCAAAACATATAATGATAGAAAGTGGATTGCTGATTACATATTTCTAGGGCAGACTAAAGGATGGAACACAAAGGCTTGAGGATTCTTCAGAGGAATAGAAATGTTCTGTGTCTTAATTATAGTGGTAATTTCACAGATGAATATAGCTGTTAGAATTCATGAAATTGTGTATTATCATGTGCAAATACCCAAAGAAGGAATTATGAGGCAGTTTCGTGCCTTAATAAGAAAAAAATACAGAAATAGATTTTTTGGAATATTTATCATCAGTACAGGAGTGGAGAACAGCGGCATAAATATGTGCTCATATTATGTAGTAGTAGGCTATGTATTTGCTGTCTTTGCTCTAATATCCCCAGTAAAGTTATTGTAAATATAATATTAATGGAATCAGTAATCATCTGTTTTGGCTTTTATACATTCCTCTTTTTAAAATAATCAAATTCCTAATTAACTACTTGTGGTAGAGGGTATTTGAGATCCTAAAATATTTAAAATACTTAATTTACTAAAAATTTTACATCCTTGCATTTCACTTAACTGATTATTTTCCTTCTTATTGGCTATTGTGTCTTGTTACCTTTATGTTGTGGAACTCTATTTAGCTTTTTAGAGTCACACTATGATGAAGTGTCAATGGTAAATTCTCAGTGCTAGTGTATAAGTAGAGGTACAAGGAATAAATTGGAAATGATTTGGTCCATCCTTCACAATTCTCATCCTGTATTCTCTTAATAGTTATAAATAACTCAAGTCCTTCTCCCTCTCCTCCCCCTCCCCTGACCCCATGCTGGATATTAAACCTAGGGCCTTTACATTGATTGACCTACATCTCCAGCCCTTTTTATTTTGAGACAGGGACTCATTAAATCATTCAATTGCCCAGGCTGGGCTTGAACTTGAAGTCCTCCTACCTCAGCCTTCCAGAGTGCAGGGATTATAGGTGTGCACCACCATGCCTAGCTTCAAAACTATTCTTAATAATATCCCTTTAGAAGCTGCAACCAATTGTTTGGAGTTGACACCAAAGTTGAAAATAGACCTAAGGTGAATATTCAGTAGTACCTCAAATACAAAGTGCAAGTAGTGACCATTCTAGGTTAGCTACTTGTGGTGAATAGATCTCCAAAGGAAAAGCGAAGCCCGTTGTTCATTCTTTCCCTAATATCCATACCCTCTTTGCTTAAGACTTACTGAGGGTGCATAACTTTTATCTGAATTTAGCATTATAGGCAGCTACTCGTGAAACCAAGCGACGTGTTCATTGGAAGAAAGCTGATTTTAGGGTTGGGCAGGAAATATACAAGATGAAGCTGTCAAACACTAAAGCAATTGAGTGAAATGGAATACATAAAAACCCATGATAAATAATGAATATGACAAAAACAGCTGGGCCAAGGTGCATGCCTCTAATCCTAGCACTTGGGAGGCTGAGATAAGACAATCACAAGTTTAAGGCTATCTTGGGCTACACAGAGAGACCCTGTTTGGCAGGGGAGCGGGGCGGGGGATAAAATCCAAAAGAACTTGTCTGACACCATCCAAAATAAGGACAGTATTATTTTGTGAATTGAAAATTAAAAGGAGAGAATTAAACATTTATACCTGACTTCATCTACTTTAGGTAATCAATAGCCCTAATTGTGGGCATAAAGTTTTTCTTTAAAGAATTCCATAAAAAAATGATGGGATCAGAAAATTACCATCTTACAGTCCCTAATTAAAGTAGGTATCGATCATCAAAGGAGTAAACCATTGAAAATTAACTTGGTTGATGAGAAAATTTCCCAAGGAAGGGATCAGGCTGCAGTCCTAGCAGAAATGTGTGTGTGTGTGTGTGTGTGTGTGTGTGTGTGTGTGTGTATGTGTGTGTGTGTGTGTATAGATATATAGATGCAATATATATGAGGCACATGCTAACCCTATGAAGTGTTTTTGCCAGAAATGTAGAGGTTGTTTCTAATATGAGCTTGCCAGATTTGGCCAAAACAAAATAGGACAGTTAAATTTGAATTTCAGATAAACAAGTGATTTTTTTAGTATAAGTACATCCTATGCTTGGAACATACTTTGTTTCTATAACAAGTCAATGGAACAGGATAAGGGGAGGAGTTGATGTGGGACTACCTTGTAGGAAAAATTATTTATGAGCCAAAATGCACCAAAAAAAGGGTTATGTGAAACTTGCTTGGATTCTGATTTGAATAAATTTCTTTTATAAAAAGATAGATATCAAAAAAAATTTTTTAAAAAGGTGTATATCCCAGCACTTTGGGAAGTTGAGGCAGGAGGATTGAAGTTCAAGTCCAGCCTGGACAACTTAGCAACTTAGCAAGACCCTGTCTCAAAATTTTAAAAAAGGGCTGGTGATGTGTCTTAATGCAAAGACCCTGGGTTCAGTCCCCAGTATTGCAAATGAATGAATGAATGATAATTGTAGAATATATATTGTGCACTGGGCATAAGATCGAATAATTACTTTAAATTTGATTAATATAATAGTGGCATAATGGATGTAAAAGAAAACATTCATTTTAAAAAATAACAGGAATAAAATGATATGGTATCTGGGATTTACTTTAAAATATTTCAGCAGGGCTAGGGATTTAGTTCAGTGGTTTCGCTGCCTGCTTCGCAAGTACAAGGGCCTGAGTTTGATCCCTGGTACCATAAATAAATAAATAAATAAATAAATAAATAAATAAATAAATAAATAAATAAATAAATAAATAAATATTTTCAGCAAAGGAAATTAAGGTTAGAGGAAGTGGCATATTTTGATAGTTGAAGAACCTAGGGGTGGTTAACGTGGGGATTTATACTACCATTCTAATTTTGTGTTTGAAATTTTTTAATAATCAAAATGTTTTTAAATGCTGTAGGTAGATCACTGTATCTGTTTTGTACCAGGTACTTAGAGCTTTACAAAATATGCAAATGCATACTTACTACATTTGTAAAGTACTTTAACATATCTAATTTTACAGTCAATACTTATGGCAGTTATTATCCTAGGTTTTGTGTGCATGTGAGAGGGAAAATCAAACCCAGGCCTTGTGCATGATAGGCAAGCATGTACCACTGAGCTGCACCTACAGCATTGTTCTAATTTTAAACCTGAAGCTAACAAGGTGTCCAATTCAACAATTTGACCTTGGGGCTGGGGATTTAGCTCAGTGGTTCCAGTGCCTGCCTGAAAAGCACAAGAACCTGAGTTCAATTCCCGGTACCAAAAAATAAATAAATAATTTTTGGGGGGACCATGAATCACATTTGTTTCTTGGCTTCTTAGTAGAGCCTGGTTTGATTCTGAACTTTTTTTTTTTTAGGTCAGACTGGCCTTGAACTCACCATGTAGCCTAGCCTGGCCTTGAACTTTCATCGATCCTCCTGCCTTAGACTCCTGAGTGCTGGAATTATAGGTCTGTGCCACCACACCTGGCCTTTCTTCTTCTTCTTCTTCTTTTTTTTTTTTGGAGGCCTTTCTTCTTAATGTAGGAATCTTTTGCTGTGCTAGCTACTATTAAACAGATTGAAGTGGGGAGTACTGGGGATTGAACCCAGGGAGCACTGAGCTATATCATCCAGCTTTCTTGCTCACCCTCCCCCAATACTGGGTATTGAACCCAGGATCTTTGTGCTGAGCTACAGCTATAGTACTTATTCTTTTTTTTTTTTTTTTTTTTTTTTTTTTTTT